ACAAAGACGGGAAAATTGACCCCCACAGAAGTGATTTAGTCATGCTGCTCGTACCAGAGCCCAGCCTAGTTCTAGAACTCCCAGCTGAAAAGCTCCTCATAGTATTCCCAAGGGAAATTGTTCCATATGCCGGAGCTTCCCCTAGGGATTGTGAGGGAAGAGAATGTAAACGTCAGAGATGGAAAGAATTTAAATAAAATCATCAGAAAATCTACCCAAACCCAAGACCCCCACAGAATCAGGGACAGAGAGCTCTCATCTTACTTACTCCTCTTCGTCATCTAGCCCTCATAATAAGGGTGTTTTCTCAGACTTCGCTCCTAGCTCTCACCTTCCCTATTTCAACACTTGTCTTGGAAAGCACATTCATTTCCAGGCCTTTAGCGATTACTGCTGCTTAAATGACTTCTAAGCCAGCCAGCCCAAGTATCTGCCCCAGGTGTAACTCCTTGGTCAGATTAATGAACAACTCCGTGTGGGTGTCTCACTGTCATTTAAAATACTGTCTAAAACCGTATCATTCATCTATACACCCAATTTCTGCTAATGATGACTATCATTTGTTTGGGTCCCTAGACTCACCTGAATAACTTATAGTTCTTCTGTGGGATTCATCCTTGACCCCTCCTTCTCCTATATCCAGGCTGTCACTCAGAACTGTTGGATCTTACTAGGGTGCCTGGGTGGCTCAGTGGGTTAAGCCTCTGCCTTCAGCTCAGGTCGTGATCTCAGGGTCCTGGGATCTATCCCTGCATCAGGCCCTCTGCTCAGGAGGGAACCTGCTTCCCCCTCTTTCTCTGCCTACTTGTGATCTCTGTCTGTCAAGTAAATAAATAAAATCTTAAAAAAAAAAAGAACTGTTGGATCTTACTGAAGATCTTCAGGGTCTTACCTGCTCTCATCCCTGGTACATTGTTTCCTTTTATGTAGTGTGATTTTTAGCTGTGAGTTCACCTTCAGTGGGCATTTACCTGGCAATAATACTCTGTGGCCTGGGTTGAGGGTATGTTTTTCCTGAGCAATTTTGCGTTTGCTTGTGCCGTACATCCCAAAAATACCAATGGAGATCAGTCTTTTTGTTAATTTCTTTGCCTGGGTTTCCTGTATCACACAGGGGTTGTGAGTTCAAATGCTAACTCATATAGTTATGCATCCTCAAGGGAACTCCCCCAAATGGGGCCCAGGTCAGCATAGGCAAGCAATAAACCTCCCTCCCCATACCTCCTGGGGTTACTCACAGCACATCCCATGCTTATATTTCTTGGTCTCCCAGTTCTACGCCCAGTTTTGGTCCATATAGATTTTCTCTCCGTGATTGCATTTTTGGTTAAGCATTTCAGAGGTCTGTTATATTTTGTGAGTCAGTCCACATATTCTGTAGCAGGAGGGTCTTTAGTTTATCTATTCCACAATACTGATTGAAACTGAAGCCTGAATATGTTGGTTCCTTTAGTGAAACATTTTCCATGTTTATCTTCTCTGTGCCTATTGCCAGCATCTCAGTCCATGCCCCTCCCTACACATACACAAACACCATGGATATGACAATCACATAGAATCACATAACATGTAGTTGGAAGGAATTTATAAGAACATCTTTTCTAACCCCTCTATGTATAGAGAAAGAAACTGAGGCCTCAGAGATCTGAGGATTTTCTTAAGGACACACAGAGAGTGAGAGACTGAAGTGGACCTTGAACCTGGGCCTTCCAGTTCCAAGACCAGCATTTCTCCTGCATATCTAGTCGTTCCACAAACATTGAGCATTTACCATATGCCAGGCCAGTGGTTCCCACTTTTTTTCCTTTCCAATATACTGGAAGTATTCAACACATACATGAGTAACAAAGGTCATTCTAGTCTTGACTTTCATCATAGAGATACAGGGAAGAGTAATTAAGAATCTTGATAAAGTGGGAGATTTTGACAAAGCAACTTGGAATGCCTGCTATTTCTTCCCTCATCCCCCCAACTCCTGTGCCCCGTTTGAGACAAGCCTGTACTGTACCAAACTGCTTTCTGTGGTCTCTCTCCCTCCACTCCACATTGCATATCACTACTGATACAGCTTCCCTAAAGCACTCATGGTGTTGTATCCCAACATGACCACAGCTTCCACTTTCCTACAAAAAAATATACACTGCAGTTAAAGCCTTCCATATCTGAACCAGATTCATTTTCCATCCTCTGTCTTCTCTCCTTTTGCTCTCTCCTCTCCCCTTGTGTATTATCCAAATTGTCCCACACTTGAGCTCCTTCAAGAGCAGAGACCACATCTGATCCACATATGCGGGCTCCATATCATCATGCCCACTCCCCAGCACATTTAAGTGCTTAATTTTTTTTTTAGATTGATTATTTATTTATTTATTTATTTATTTGACAGAGATCACAAGTAGGCAGAGAGGCAGGCAGAGAGAGAGGGGAGGGGAGAAGCAGGCTCACCGCTGAGCAGAGAGCCTGATGCGGGGCTCCATCCCAGGACCCTGGGATCATGACCCAAGCTGAAGGCAGAGGCTTTAACCCACTGAGCCACCCAGGCGCCCCTTAAGTGCTTAATTATTGAGTGGATTGGTTCCCCCCCAAAAAAGGTCTAAAGTGCTAAAAGGAGAAGGGAAAGGAGAAGGGGAAAAGAGGAAGGAAAGCAGGTGTTTGGAGAGCATGAAGCTGAGAAAAGATCAGGAGGGAGAGATGGGCAGAAGCAGGACTGATGTCCTGCTCCAAGCCATGGGGGTGTCATGAGTGGGACCATAATTCTGGCTGGTCTGTGTCTGTCCAATTCTGGCTGAGCGCATGATTCTGTACCTCAGCTCTGGACCCCAGATGTGTCTGCCACTCAGTTCTCTCTCTTTTGGTTTCTCGGGCCCACATGGAGTGGGATTCAGTTTAACATTTTTAGAACTGTGGTTCCCATAACAACCAAGCAGGAACTGTTGTCTGTGAAATGTAGCATAAGCACACATGCGCACACGCGCACACACACACACACACATATGTGCATGTACGTATACATGTGCACATCCCACACGTGCATGCACATACACATACACACACGTGCATTCACTGAGACACATTCATACATGCACAGCATCTACCCACATGTGTACACATGCATGTATTCATCTGTATGTGTACTCACACTTGCACACGTGTGCACATGCACAGCTATGTATCTGCATGCATATACATATGCACAAAAGGCATACACAGGCATGCCCTGGATTGTTTTTGCATATCCATAGGAAGCATAGTGTGAGGACGGACAAACATCACCAGGACAAAGTTAGAATCAAGACAATATATGGACATTTTTGGTTCTCTGCAAAAGCAGGTGGATTTGGGGAAACTGTACTTTGGCGGAGGAGGGTCCAGTAAGCTTAATACAGCAAAAGGGTAGCAGGAGGGCACTGTGTTTAAGTGCAGACTTTAGAGTTCATGGACTTGAGTTCACATCCTGACTGTGCCATTCACTGGGCTCTGAACTTTAGCTTCCCCATCTGTAAAGTAGGAATAATAATAATACGTATTTAACAGATTTATTAGGACAATTGAATGATATGCATGAAATGATTAGTGTGATGCTTGGCACTTGGCTAATAGAAGCTGTTATCATTTAGGTCTTAGAAGAAGTGATTTCTCACTTGCTCAACCAAAGAAGACTTTCTGGAGGAGGAAAAAAATTCAGGAGGTCGGGGACAGAAGAGAAGATGTTGGGAGAAGGGTAGTTTGACTTGAGTGGCTTATTCTGCCTCAATCCTTATTAAATTTGCTTGTCCTCCAAAGCCACCAGACAAGTCTACAAATTATCCTTCCTCATATTAAATGTTCAATGCCTTTTTCTTAGCAGGAGTAGGATGGGGTCAAGAAAAGTCTCCATCAGCCTCATTTATTGGAGAATCCTCAGGCTATGCTGATTTCTGTGCTGTTGCAGCCAGACTGTCCCTCATAGCTTTGGTGCTCAATCCTGCCCAAGCTCACCTCTGGGCCTTTGCCCAAGTACTACCCACAGCCTGAAATGCCATCTCCCCTTTTCCTCCTCCAAAGCCCAGCTCAGCCATGGGCTTGATAGCCCTAACACCATGTCTGATCTCTCAGGGTCCCCCTGCAGCTCTGTGGACTTCCTTCCAGTCCAGGCAGATTGTTCCTGCTTCACTGGCTGGGTAGGCCTTAAGCCAAGGCCCCTCTAGATGCTCAAGTGCTAGGGAGCTAGGCTTCTCTCCTATCCAATTTCAAGGCAGGGTGGGGGTGGGGGGTTGAGAGGTGGGACTCAGGGTGAGGTGGAGGATTGGGTTGGGGTGGGTGGAAAGGAACCAAACCCGAAGGCCACTGTCTCTCTGCCTCTTTTCTCCCCCTCTAGGTCCGGGATGGGATTTGTGTTGGGGACAAGTTCTCCTCGATGATATCCTCAAGGGCAAAATTGGGTCCTGGGAAAGCAATCACTGCCGGCTTTCCTGGTTCCCTAGGGATGCCCAGAGAGAGGGGATCGACTCAAGCAATCTTGGCGGAGACCAAGCATTTGGCTGGAGGTCGCTGAGTGCACAACCTAGGGCGAGGCCCACGAGGCTGCTTAGTGACCGTGGCGCATACCCCAGGAGCAGCGCAGCGCACCCGCTCTCTTCCTGACCCACAGAACCCCATCCCCCTCCCCCGGGATCTGCCCTGAGTGGTAGCAGGCCTAAGCCAGAGTGGTCGGGCTAGGGCGGAGAGGTCTGAATTAAAGGTGGGCAGTAGAGGTTCCTGGGGCAGGGAGAGTGCACTGGGCGGTGCCGGGAGTCTGGAAGACCCAGACCCCAGGAGAAGCGCGGCCCAGCGGCCCCAGCACCCCCAGGACGGCGCCGCGGACCCCTCCCCCATCGAAGCCACCTTCAGCGGAAAACGTGGGGTCCCGGCGCAGCCGCTTCTGGCGGCATCTGCCGCTCCCCAGCTCGCAGGAGAGCCCGCCCCGAAGGAGGGGCCGGCTCCGCCCCACCTCCTAGCTGCCTCCCTCCCCCTTCTCTTCCTTTCCTCCGGCCGCGAGCCCCCTCCTCCTTCCTCCTCCTCCATCCTTCCCCCACCCGGTTTGTGTGCCCCTCCCGCTGCGACTGGCTGGGAGGCTCTGCCGCCCCCGCCCCGAGAGGGAGGCGGGGGCGCTAGCCGCGGCGGCCACCCGAGGCTGAGGAGGAGAACGAGATCCGAGGCCCCAGGGCGGCCCTGCATCTGGACACGGCACGCGGGGGCTGCCTGTGCACCCCCAGCCGAGGGCCGCGGGGCCTGGCCTCGCCGCGGGGTGGAGGAGGTAAGGGCGAGTCATGGGCGCGCTGCGGGACCGCTCCTGGAGAGAGAAGGCAGGGAGGACCCCAGCCTCTGCCTCCTCCTCCTCTTCCTTCACCCCCACAGCCCTCGGGAGGCCCGCGAGGCTGCCGGACGGGGAGGGATTCTGGGCAGGCCAGGCCAGAGGCAAGGAAGGGGTTAATTTAAGGAATTAAAATCAGAACGTTTGAGACCAGGCTTCCCATCCCCCCTTCTAGTCAGTCGCTCCCCGAGCCAGGTTGGGGGTGGGGGCGGGCTCCGGTGGGACTCTGGACCTTGGAGAGCCGGGCCAGAGGGAGGGAGCAGGAAGGGGAGCGCCCTCAAACCCAGCCCTCTCCACCTGCTTCTGGAAAGGGGTGGGGGAGGGGCGTGGTGTTGAGGCCTGGCTGGGCACCTGTGCGGGAGTCTGAGGGTGAGAGGCTTTGGGTGTCTGTGTGCGTGCTGGTGTGCACGTGTGATGGTCTGGACGATCCAGAGGTGTGCGTGTGTGTGCACGCATGTTTCTCTCTTCTTGTAGCCCAGTGCCTCCGTTGGTGACTGTCCACGGTGATCTGGCTGTGTGCTCCTCACTGCATTGCTTTGCATGTGAGTGTGTGACACGGCGCCTGTGTGCGCGTGCCACAGCGTGCCTGTGGGTAGGAGTGGGGCCTGCTCTCTCCTTAGGTCGAATGTGCAGTGAGGAGGGGCCCAGATGGTTTTCTGGGTGTGGGATCCAGGTGCTCGAGCCATGTGTGTGTGACCTTGGGAGGTGTGTGCTCGCTTGCAGGAGCACAAGAGTGAAGAGGAGCTTAGAACAGAAAAGGCAGTGTCAGGGCTGCGGGGAAGCAGGGGACTGGATGCATTGATCCCTGTGGGTCTTCACTAGACTGCTCTGGGAGGTAACCTGTGGTGACCCCAACCCAGGTGTGGAGAGCCAGAACCCTGTCCTTCTTGGGGGATTTGGAGGGCTTTGGAGAGAGTCGGGGGCATGCCTTTATTCTCCATCCACAGGGACACTTCCAGCTGCCTCCCCATCCTCAGAACACCTCCTCCACCTGCTGGCAGATGTCTCCCGAAACCACTGAGCTTAGAGCTTCATTTCTTTGGCCTCTAACGCCATCTATTAACATCCAGATCTTCCTTCCCCATTTCTGTAAGTTCTACCTTCTCTGCTCCTTTCCTGCATGCCAATTTTTATGGAAAGAGGGAGAAAGAGCTCTTGGGCCCAGAAGGCCAAGTGAGAGGTAGAGGAGAGGCCAGAGGGGGACACGGGAGCCAGGGAGCATGACCAAGAAAAACCCAACTCTGCTAACTTATCCATTTGCCTGCTCTGAATTTAAAAGAGAAAGAGACTGAGAGGAAGTTTGGCTATAGCCACACACTTGTTTCTAGATTTAGGGATGCCTAGCCTATCTCTGGTTTGGGAATATTTATAGCTGGAAGGGGGTGATGGTTGTTGAAAGGTAACTGCCAACCTGCCTTTGAGTTCCCTGGACTTTCCTGCCTCTCTGGAAGCCCACCACTCCCTTTATTCAGTCATTCAACAAATATTTATTGAGCGCTACTATGGGCCAGCCAATGAATATTGTAGAGTTGGTGTGACATTCTCCTCCCAATCAGAAGAAACATATATTAAGACTAAGAGCATGGGTTTTGAAGTCAGTCAGGTAGTACTTGGTTCAAATCCTAGCCTATCACTCATTCCCTGGTGTGTAACAAACCACCCCAGAATTTAGGGGCTTAAGACAAGAATGATTTTTATTCTTAATGGTCTGTGGGTTGGCCAGGACTGTGGCCCTGGCTGTGGGCTCTCATGGCACCTCTCAGCAGCATTCAGTTGAGGGACTGGCTGGAAAGGAACATCAAGATGGCCTTTCATCCTCCAGAGCCTCTCTACATGGGACGTCTACTTGGTCAGTAATTTAGCCTGTTTTTTAATATGGCAGCTGGATCCCAAATGGAAGTATTCCAAGAGGATAAGCCCTCTGTGACAACAGCTTATCAAGCCTCTGCCTGCTTGCTAATGTCCCATTGGCCAAAGGAAGTCACATGGCCAAGCTCTGCATCAGTATGGGAGGGGACCACATATGGGGAAGAATCCTGGGAGGCATGGTTCCTGGGGGCCATCAAAGCCACAGTCTGTTCCAGTCACTTCCTGGCCTTGGGCAAGTAATTTGGCACTGTGAGCCTCACTTTCCTCCTAAAGTAGACACAGTACCACCTGTGGGCAGCAGTGTCTTGAGGATTAAATGAGAAGCATGGTATCTGAGCAGAGTAATTAGTAGGTAAACGTTCACTGTTCAAATTATTAGACTGGAAGCATCTTGGGGGCGTGACTGTCTTATTCATCTTTGTGTCTCCAGTGGTGGTCATGGCCCCTGTGTTTGATGTCTTTTTTTTTTTTTAAAGATTTTATTTATTTATTTGTGAGGGAGAGTGCACACGTGCACAAGCAGGGGGAGCGGCAGAAGGAGAGGGAGAGAATCTCAAGCAGACTCCCCACCAAAGGGAGCCCATGGAGGGGCTTGGTCTCACCACCCTGAGATCCTGACTTGAGCCCAAATCAAATCGGATGTTTAACCAGCTGAGCCACCCAGGAGCCCCTGTTTGACATCTTTTTGTTGGGTGGATAAACTAGAAAGAAGCAGAGAAGCCCTAAACCTTGGAGCTCTGGTAGAGTGACAGAGTCATGGGAAGAGACAGGGAAGCACTTGTTATTCCAGGTGATTCTTGGATTGACTTAATTATAACCAGATTCATCCCGTTCCATAATGAGGGGCAGAAATCACTTCAGCTATATGAAATCCATCAGTTCCTCCATTATTCAGTGTTAGTCCTCTAAGAATGATGCACTGATGTCTGCTGTGTGGGAGGAAGGTGTGAGGGTGAATCATTTGCATTGTCCTTGCCCGCCAGTGTGTGCATGGGGTGGGATCTGATGTGCAGATAGGTCTACGACCATCCAGCCTGTGACACCTGTTGCCATGTGTGAAGATCTACGGTAAGGGGTGATTCACACTCCAATGTGCTTTGAGCCGAAGGAGGGAGTCGAGGAGGCTTCCTGAACAGGTAGCATTTGAGCTGGGCCTGCAGAATTCCCCATGTGGAGAAGGGAGTCCCAGGAAGAGGGACTAGCATGAGCCAAGACTTAAGGGTGTGACAGCTCATGGCACTTCTCAGTGAGCTAAGGCCCACAAGCCTCATTAAGGTTGCACATGGGAAGCGGATGCAAACACTAGGCTGGCAAGGCTGAGTGGCGCTCGGGTCCTGGCCCACCTTGAGGGCAGTCAAAGCACGGTGGACTTTACCTCCCAGAAAATGGCCTGCGCTCAGAGACTTATTTGAGAAGAAGAGTGACACGACTGGATCTGTATTTGCAGAAAACATGAGAATTGAAAGCTGGTGGAATTAGGACTACAGTTAGCAATGGTATCAATGGATCAGATAGAAGGGGATGGTTATGGTCTGGGGCAGGGGCTAGAGGAAAGAGAGTCAAGTATTTAGAAGGTAGTATTACAAAAACTGGTGATTGATGAGGTCTGAGGAGGACTTTCAGAATTCAGAGATGCTTTGCGGGTTGTATCCAAGGTGAAGAGTAGATAATGAAGATGTTGGTCGAGACGGGGAAACAGGAGAAAGAAGCAGGCTTGAAGGTGAACATCGTGCTATTGTGAGTTCATTATTAGCCATAGTAAGCTCTGAGCCCCCGACATTAAAATATCATCCTTTTCATCCTCTCCCTCTGTGCAGGCTGCTTGTAAGGTGCACTTAAAAATTAAAAAAAAAAAAAAAAACTGCTGTAAATGTCAGGTCTAAAGCTTTGGGTTATGTGTGCCTCAGGATACCACAAGTGATGGTATAGATGAGAGTTAGGTTATCCCTAAGAAGCATTTAAATATGTTCAGGTGTCTCTCCTCTTAAAAGCTCTGTTTGGAATCTCCCACGCTGCTTCTTCCCCCTTCACAATTGAGGTTCCTGTGTCTACTCACTGTCTCTACCTCACTCTCCCTTTAACCCCATCAACTGGGTTCATGAAAGCGGGGCTCCCTGAAGTCCCCAGTGGACCCTTTGCGCCTCTGCTCTGGCTTGTGTCATCAACGCCTGCTGTTTACACTACTGCCCACTGCTTCCCTCCTTGACATCCTCTCTTCCCAAAGGTTTCCCACCAGAATTCCCACCAGAATCCCCTGGCTTCTGCCGGTTCTTAGGATCTTCTTGGTTCTTCTCCCTCCTCCACCTCTCTGAGGATCCACTTCTCCCCTGCTCCCCTCTCTCTGCACCCTCTCCCCGATCCTACTCATCCACTTTTACGCTTAAGGTGCGAAAACTGTATTTTTGGCTTCACATTGCAAACTATGTACTATCTCTACTTCCAGGGCCCACTGGGACCTCAAACTTGTGACAACTACAACCAAACCAATCTCTCCCCCAAATGTGCCTTGCTTCACTTTCCCTGCAAACTGAACCACAGCCCCATCTACCTAGATGCTCAAAACTCAAAGCTGAGATTGATCCTTCACTCCTCCCTTTAATACCAGCCACAATTATTCTGTCACCAAGCCTTCTTGACTCTCCTTCCTATGCTGCTTCCATTTCCATCCTTCTCATTGTGCTCCTGCTGCCTTGGCCAACAGTTTCAACTTCTTCCTGATCTTTTTTTTTTTTTTTAAGATTTTTATTTATTTTTTTATGTATTTGAGAGAGAATGAGTGAGAGAGAGCATGAGAGAGGAGAAGGTCAGAGAGAGAAGCAGACTCCCCAAGGAGCTGGGAGCCCGATACGGGACTTGATCCTGGAAGTCCGGGATCATGACCTGAGCCGAAGGCAGTTGCTTAACCAACTGAGCCACCCAGGCGCCCATCAACTTCTTCCTGATCTTGATCCCCGGTGGGCCGTACTCTTCACTGTACCTGATACATTCATGGCACAGAGGATGGACTCAATAAATGTAACATGAATGAATTCATGTTTTAATAAAGCCCAGGGGAGAATTCTAGCCTAAAAAATATCAATTTGCGAGAATGTTAGGACTTTTGGTCACAAGGGACAGAAATAACCATTCAAATTACCTTATGCAAAAACGGATATGTACCGGGGCACCTGGGTGGCTCAGTGGGTTAAAGCCTCTGCCTTCGGCTCAGGTCGTGATCCCAGGGTCCTGGGATCGAGCCCCGCATCGGGCTCTCTGCTCTGTGGGGAGTCCGCTTCCCTCTCTCTCTGCCTGCCTCTCTGCCTACTTGTGATCTCTCTGTCAAATAAAATAAAATCTTTAAAAAAAAAAAAAAAACAAACAAAAACGGATATGTACCAACTCAAATAACTGGAAAGAAGGGGGAGTGGGTTTGGGGCATGACCGTAGCTGGGTTCTCAAAAATGTGATGAGGATTCTTCCTGGTTCTTGGTTCAGCTTCACTCTGTTGCCATACTTTTCCCCCCACCGTGCATGGACTTCCTCCATGTGGTAGGTAGAGGTTACACAAGGCCGTAGACCGCTTCATGTTCACTAGCCAGTGATCTCAGAGGAACAGGAGACTCCTCAGTCTTTCACTTATATTTCCAGGGAAGGACTCTGTTGGCTCAGCTTGAGGAATGTGGCTGTTCTGGTGTCATTCACTGTGGCCAAAGAGGTGGGGCACCATGCTAGGCCAGGCCTGGGTCACGCAGCCCTGTCAGAACCACAGGGAATGGGGAGGGGCAGCTTACCAAAGAAGGAATGAGATGTTCTATCATCAGAAGGTGAAGAAGGCTTGCCAAACAGAAAAAAAAATGTGGAGGTCCACCGCGGGAATTCTCAGGGCCTGTTTGGTAGTGGAAGCCGTGAAAATGTAGGATTCTCTGTGTTTCTGGCAGAGACCATGATCATGTGACAGTAGACAGGAGCCAGGGAAGACACCCATCTCGAGATGGTTGGCCTTGTTTAAGGAGATGAGACTCACATACCTGAAAACTTTACCAAAAAAAAAAAAAAAAAAAAAAAAAAGTCAATGCCTTTGGTTCAGCCTGGAGCATCCTTCCACCCAATGAAAACCTTCAGCTGGGCTTAGAAGAAAGGAGACTTGAGATAGGCATTTCAGAAGTGGGGTGGGGAACAGAACAGGTCCTGCGGATGGTGAGGGGGCGGGTCCTGGCTGAAAAAGGAGGCAGGTCTTAGGG